TTAAACTATATATTTTTTATCATTAAATATGACATTTTTAAATTAATATTTGAATTAATGTACCTTTTTTTAATGCAATTTATTATTAAAAAAAAAAGGACATGAATATAACATAATACGACATGGAAATGTCTCTATCATGCATTTGACTTATTGATTTCATAATTAAAATAGAGAGATAAAGTAAGGTGGGTCTACTGCAACATTTGAGGAATCCTAAGGGGGTTTTCTGCAAATAAAGTCAAAACCTAATGGCAAAAGAGATGCTCTACGAAGCTACCTTTCACTTATTTACATCTTTGGTCCTTAATGTTTACACAATTTCTCATATCGATCCCTAACTTTAACGACACCATTCTTCCGAGCGTTCCATCCGTTTTAAAACCGACTCCTTTTTTAGATTATGAAAAGTTCAACGATTTTAAACCTTGTAGTTATAGATGTTCTCGATATTTTAAATGACATAAGACGTGACGTGTCGGTAAAGTCGAGTTTCGAGTCTTAGGAATTATGGCGAACGTTTTTTGAACATGACGTATATATGACTGGAAATTTGTATATTGTATATACAGGCGAATGATCGTGTGAGAAATAGAGTTAAGGTGAGAAGTGTAAAAAGCGATTATAACCCTTTATCATTTTTAATCTCTTGTCCACCCATGTACAACGATTCTCACGGGAATTGATTCGGTGCATCTCATCTCGGTGCACCTCATCCTAATGTGCAGATGATGGAAATCCCTTCTTACACTTCTTACTTTAATTCTCATTCAAACGAAAACACCTTCATCTTACAAAAAAAAAGAGACTAAGAAGATTAAAAAAATATTAAAAGTAAAAAAAATAAAAGTCAGTCTTACGAAAACACGCATCGAAGTTGGACACTGGTGTATCATAAGTATACCATTACATCGAAGACGAGTCTTGCCTCACGGTACAACAACCGTCACCAGTGGCGGATCCATGATTTTGGTCTAGTGGGAGCACCTTTAAGGTAGCTTAAACACCCACAAAGTCGTCCGATGTGTTTTTAGTCTAATTCCACCATTCCAAGAGATTTTTGAAGTTTTTTTGGATTATTTCAAAGGATTTTTTAAGGTTTTTTTTATCGATTTCGAGGAACTTTTCATTTTTTGATTGATTTCGAGATACTTTCTTTAGTTGGTGGGGGCCCTAACAAGAAATTACTGAGGAGAACCATAGTAGAAAGTAAAAAATACAACTTTTAACCTTAGGAAAATTCCTCTTCTTTATTTTTTAATGGGGCCTTTCCCCCCACCTTTTACATGGTAAGTCCGCCCCTGACCGTCACGTCACACCTTTTAAAACAATGGTTGTTCTACACGTCATGAAAGAGTGGGTTGCGACCAAACATTACGTTTTAGGTCGGATTTCACAATTTGGACCAAATACAGTTTTTTTCTTCATTTATTTACAGTATATTACGTAAAAACTTAATATAAAATACAGTTCGAAACCATAAAATCTAAAAAAGAACACAAATTTTGTAAATCACTTTTACTTTTTTTTTGTGGGTGATAAAATTTTCTTAATTTATTATTTTGTACTAAATATTTAAATATATTTATTAATTAGAAAAATAAGAAAGATTGCACTTGCTTGCTAGCCCCTCAAGCCTTCACTATCTTCATTGACCCAAAAAAAGCATCACAATTTAATTAACTATTAGAGTTGGTGGTATTCCTATGAACAAAAAGTCAAGGATATAAGATATTCTCTTCCTTTTTGTGTATATTATATTTATATTAATATATATATATATATATATATATATATTATAATACATAATATACTTTGATCAAGTAAGAACAACTTGTTTTCGTGAGACCCGTTAAACCATTTTTTGTTGTTGTAAAGTTTCAAATGTAAAAAAGTGGTCTCATGAAAACAGATTGGTCTCACATGGATCCAACCCACACATAATATATATATATATATATATATATATGCAACCTTTTGTGTGTATATATTAATTGTGAGAGCATATGTGACATGAAAAGGATGAGAAGAGGCATCCTTATCTCACACACTTGTTGGTGACTGTGTTTTTCACCACATGACCAAAATGCCACCTTTTTTCTCTCCTAAAAAGAACCCTTTTTTATTTATGAGAAAATGCTAAAAGTTATATAAAATATTTACAAAATTTATGCATTATTTGACTAAGTCTATTCAATGCCAAGACCTATTTAATGATTATTTATAGAATATGAATCAAATTTATATATTGCTTTATAAACTATATCAAATTATATACAATTTCTCAAATATAAATCCTCATTTTGAATCGGATACATATAGTTTTGGAAAAACACGTACTTTCTTCAAATAAACAGTAAATTTTAAATCACAAGGGTGACGTCCGATTGGTTTTATCTTGGATTCCAAAGGCCAAAAGTGTCATGTTCGAATCTAAGGAAGAATAAAACTCTCTTTGTGGCCACAAATGTTCAAATGCGATGACTTTGGGATTCCTGCAAAACGGGTTGTCATTCTGGGATTAATCGGCTCGCATAACAGTCTGGATATCCAGGTTAATAAATAATAAATTTTACTTGATTAATTTTTGTGATATATATATATATATATATATATATGTATATATATCTTTTATGGTAAGAGTTAGACAAAAGGGTAGACCAATATCCAAATCAAATGGTACATTTCTTTTTTCAAGCCAATCTTTTTTGCTTTCTACTTTCACTTTTCACCTCTTTTGAGAAAATCAAAATTCACCTTAGTTTCCTTTTTTAATAAATGTTCCATTTTCATCTTTTGGGTTATTTAAAAATAATTTAGGCATATCCAAGGTGATTTGGACAATATCATATATAATATCTGATTTTTGTCTCCAAAATGATATACACATGGGACCTCTTCATACCTTCTGGTCAATTTGGTTGGTTATTTTGTGAAAAAACTCTAAAAAAATGGTCATTTTGTTAAGGTACAGTGTATAAAATGGTCATTTTAATCACTTTCCATTTTATGTATTCCATAACAAGTTTGTATATCTAAGCATCATACCTTAATTTAAAGTGGGCATACTATATTTATTTGTTTTAATTGTGATTTATAATGTTTTATTAATTTTTTAATATTTTTTTTGATTAATCTGGATATCCAACCCGCTATGTGAGCCGTCTCAAGGCGACCACATGCTTTGCACGTAGCCCGGGGTCACCACATTTGAACCTCTGTGGCCACAAAGGGATTTTTTTCCTCATTGGATTTGAACCTGAGACCTCCTGTTAGTTTTGACTTTTGAAGTCAAGCTCAAACCAATCAGGCACCATCCTTATGATTTAATTTTTTAATATTTAACCAATAATAAAGATATTTGTATTAAATTTTTTACCAAATAAATTGAATTTTCAAAATAGTTAAATATCTTTTATAATAAATTTACTTACTGTAACAAATTAATAAGATTATATGATACAATAATCTTACTTTATGTATGTATTTCTCTTTTTAAAAAATTAAAATGGGTGCAAATATAAACAATAATGGCTAGACGACCTTATTATTTGTAAACCGAATAAAAATTCATATATCTGATTTAAAAGCAAGATTGGAGATTAAATATACACACATTTGGCATTTGTTGTTCCAGAAAAAAAAATCGAACTACTGTTTTTGTAAATACCCTTGATTTTATGCAAGAGCGTGTGAGTAAAACAATCTGAGAAACAAAGACTGAATAGAAAAATTCATAGAATTAGAGGAACTGATCAAGGAATACTCGGAGATCTATTATCGCTTTTGCATGTTCTCCGAAATTTAAAGTAGGGTCAAATTCTCCGGGAAGATCAGCCTGTTATCCCTAGAGTAACTTTTATCCGTTGAAATTCTTCGATTCTTCTAGAAGCAGATGATTAAATCCTCGCAGGGGCAGAGAACCCGTCACTGTCTCGGCTATGCTACTTGAGGCTCTGGGAATAGAACCCGTCAATAAAATATCCCTAGAGAGAAATAAGGCTAAGCAAATACTCCAACACTCCATTTTTGTCATATATATCCCGATCATGATTTTCCCAACCCTAGAGGGAAATGCGGGGTTTCTCTCGCTTTTGGCATAATGGGCCCCTCACAACATCTTCAACAGATTCTCAAAAATAAAAAAATAAATATAAGAATTTTAGACAAAAAACTTTTTTTCATTAGCCTGGATGTCCAACCCGCTATGCGAGCCGACTAATCCCAGGACGACCACCTGCTTTGCAGATAGCCCGGAGTCATCGCATTTGAACCTCCGTGGCCACAATGAGATTTTTATTCCTCCTTAAATTTGAACTTGAGACCTCTTGGTACTTTTGACCTTTAGAGCCAAGCTCAAACTAATCAGACACCACCCTTGTGGTTAGCAAAAAAACTTGATCCAACAAAATTTTCAAAATGAAGAAAGTAGGGGATACCGGGATAGTGAAATCCTTCAAATTTAGAAAACTCCCATAAAATAATTACCATAAAAGAAATAATTTATTATTACATCCCATCAATAAAAACGATGACATTAAATCTGTAGGAGAAATAACTGATATTTTATTAAATTTATGAAACATTTTAATAATATAATTAATATTGTGATCTTAAAATCTGTTAGAATTAAATGTACGATCTTTTGAAGCTTTTTGAGTTTTAATTCTCGATTTTAAAAGCATTTTTAACCAATTAATGTAAATAGAAAAATAAAATAAAATAAAAATAAAAATAAAAATATTTATTTTTATAATAAAAATACAAAGCATTGAATGCCATACGCTACATGTTAGAATTTGTTCATCTGAGTTCCATTTGTACAATTTGCTTCTTTTGATGCAAAAGACAAAAAGGCCAACACTTTGCAAAAGCCATTAACAAGCAAAGGTAGAATCACTTTCTCACAGTAATAGTCGCTGGTCAAAAGTATAATATCATAAGCTCCGCGTCTTTTCCATTCAATCACAGAAACACCCACCAATTGTAGTTGATTCAATAGAAAATTTGTTGTGGGTTTGAATGATTTGTGGTTTTAGGTGAAAACCCATTTGATTTTGGGTTTAAATGATCGGATTTTGGTGAGAAATTTGTGTAGGGTCCATCAGGGGTGAGACGTCTTTCTCTGTTTAACTGCATGAACTGTGTTTCTGATTGGCAGAGCTAAACAGAATCTTACAGATTTTGTTCTTCGTGTCGTAATTCTCAGAAATTTAATGTTTGTTGGATGATTTGTCTGATTATGTGTTCTTCGTGCCGCTGGTTAATGATGCTTCATTAAGGATTTTCGCAAGCTGCGTTCTGTCAACTCGTCTGTAAGAGTGATCGATCTTTGATCTTCGTTCTCTTGTTACTTCTGAAGTTGTTGAAGTGAAAATGGAGTTTAATTCTTCAAAGCATAAGCGCGCCAAGAGGTACTCTCTTCCTTTCTTGCTCATTAGATGTGTTATTTGGAATACCCCACAACCGTTTGATGATTTTACTGTGAGAAAGTATAATGTAAGAATTAATAGCTTTGATTGCTCTGTTTTTGAGGGATCCTGCAAAAGGGTGAGTATCGAATCTGTGATCTTATAAACTTATGTTCTTTGAATACATTAGATTTTACTTTAGTGATTATGTGAACAGAGACCGGATCAAACAAGAAGCTTAAATATCGTGAGAGGTTAAAGGAAAGTTCATATGTGAATTATTGAAAAAATCCCGAAAAAATCTAATTGAAGATGCATATGTGACGTGACATTACAGATTATTCACATGGGTTCTCTTACGAATCTTCAAATGGGGTTTTTCAATGATTCACATATGAATCTTTCTGAAACTTTCCTTCTTACCTTCTCATGGTATTTAGTATATGAATAATAAGGTGAACTTTATTGAAATTAATCCACTGAAGCTTAAAATGAGTGTTGAGTTCCACATCGGCTACATTTGGAAAATTTATCCACCATTTGTCTCCCTAAGGAATCTTTTGGAGAATAATGTAATGGAGTTTTCACATATTCTCACATGGTATCAAAGCCATGGTCTATCAATCTAGGCACTCAACACCGTTGGAACCTCCGTTCTTTCTTCAAGGGCTTTTTTGGAGAATAATCTAATGAGGTTTCACATATTCTCACAAATGAGGAGTTATTTGTTGTTGTTATGATAGAAAAATTGATTCACAATTAGAGTTCACGTTCAAACTCCATTGACATATAAATACCATTATATCAAATGCTCACATCATGTTTACTCCATTTCAGTGATCTTGCCAGAAAAAGAATCCATGAGGATAAGAACCCCATCCTCAATGCTCCTCAACCTCCAAAAACTGTGAGAAACTTTCATCACTTCTTAGCTTTTGCAACCCATTCAGAACTTACAGTTTATTCATAGCAATTGACTTGTTTCAATAGGTTACAGAGCAGGTGAAGATTTGTGAAGAGCCTCATCAAAGGCGGGTCGAAAGCATTGAAGTTAAAACCTCCCTAAAAGAAGAGGTTTACTGTTTTGCTTATACATTTTCTTTTGTAAAATGAATTTCTACATTGATGTGAACTAGGAGGTCAATCATAAGCTCTTATTAGATTCGATCATTTCGATATTTATGTAGATTGAACACCAAAGGGTGGTCATTGGCCGAGCGGTACTCGAGTTACCGTTGGAGCCCAACCTCCTAGGAGGTCAAGGGTTCAAGCCTTACCAAAGGTGAGAAGTGTGCGTGGACATTTGATGATATTAATGTCATATAACTTCAAAATTTGTGTAGATTGAACAACTCCAGAAGCAACTTGAGGACCAACTTATAATACGCAGTGAACTAGAGAAGGCAACAACAAGTCGACCTTTCTTACACGATTTTGTTGATGAAGCCTCGCTCACGAAGGTATGTGCCCTTGCACCTTGTGGTGGACTTACAGTTTCTGTTATAGCACTAGGAATCGGTGCCGTTAGTCTAAGCTAAAACAGAGCCTAACTGAACGTTCAAGATTGGATTCAGAAGCTGAGGAATGCCGATTAAGCAATTCCCCCCATCCCGATAAAGGGAATCACCCGTGATTCGATAACAAGTGTTGGTCCAAACATGTGAACCAATAAGCGATATCAACCGGCCAATTTGGTCTGGTTTGGGGATATCACGGTCCAGTCCTGGTTTGAAAAACTTTCAAAGTTATTGTTTCGGTCCGGGTCAGGCATCACAGCCCGGTCAGGCCGAAATTTTGGGGGCAGGCCCGGCCCAAAAAAGCCCCACCTTGAAAAGCCTGGAAAAGGCTGGTAAGCCCAAAAGACCCCAAAAAAGCTCGGTCTGAAATTTCCTGTTTGGGTCCTTTTTTAACCCCAAAGCCTGGCCGGGTCTAAAAAAGCCCGGGCCTTTTTTTTGTTGTTGATAGCAATGACTAATTGATCAGTGGCATTATTCTTCTAATACCTAAAAATTACAAGCTCATATGTTGTGGAATTAGGATATAACATTGATGAACATGATCATCATTTTGACATTTCTCATCTTTTGTGCTTAAAAATTCAGTCTTCTAAGGATCTAATCAAGGAAATATCGCTACTGGAATTTGAAGTTAAGCATTTGGAGAAGTATCTTCTCTCTTTGTATCGTAAAACTTTCCAAAAGAAGGAACCATCTTTATCTGCAACCGATACCAAATCAATATTGAAGGAACAACAGTCGTCACTTGTCAACTCTAGCAGTTTTATGCCAGCTCGAGCCTCAACTGATAATCCACCTAAAGATTTTGGTCCCATTTTGGAGTCACAGCCAATGGAAGATTCGTATGTGAATCGAAGCCACTCATCGCTTTCTTACAGAACTCCACCGATTTATATGGCTGTTAATCAAGCTGTGGAATCATACCATTCCTTACCATTAGGAATGTTGGAGGTAAGCAATTAATACATCTACAAGGCTTATGATTCAAGAGTGATATAACTTGTCCATAATTGCAATATTTCTACTTTTGGAAAGTTTTCAAGATTCTCTTTCTTATAGAATATGTCTAAAAGAGTCCTCATAAAGAGAGGGAAAATCCCTATATATTTATATGTGCAAGTGTTGGTTCGTGACCGAGTGATGTGGGACTCCAATACTTTTATTGTGTTGCTCCCTTGGTTCATATTTTTATTTTAGTTTGTCCAAAATAAGTGTCAGTTTTCCAATTCCACCCTTAATTATGAGATGGAGAAATTTGTTACCCACTTTATTACTAAGGGTAAAATCGTCATTTAATTAATTAAAAAACGTAACAGTAACACATTTCCAAAACTGTCTGCCGTTTTCCTTGTGGACATTTATTTTGGGACGGAGAGAGTATTTATCAAAGGGTATTAGATATAACTATTCAATCAAAAGTTGCAGCTTTTATAGGACAAATATGGTAATTTAGTAGCATGAATACTAAAAACCTGAATACACTTTAATCTTGATTTACCAGCATGCTAAGGATGATTGTTCAAGTGTGAGCCTGGCTGAGCATCTTGGTGGATGCATTCCTGATAATATTCCAATGTCTGCAAATCGGCTTTCCGAGGAAATGATCAAGTGCATCTCGAGCATTTATGGTCAAATTGCCGATCCACCCTTGTTCAATCACGACTTCCCTTCATCTCCCCTGTCATTCCCGTCCCCACCTAGTGATTCTTCGCCACGAGACCAGTTTAGCATGTGGAGCCCGCATTGTGAAGGATCAATGGAGTTCGGTGAATCCTATTTCACTACAGTTGAAGTTCAAGGTATTTGCAAAAATACTCAGAGGCTAAGTAGTGTTGAACAGAAGCAACAGAATTTCAGGCAAGTATCGAACATCTTTTAGCCTTTTTGATCCGAACCCACATTTCTTTAATGAGTAATTGACTTTTCAAACCAGCGTACTTGGTTTATCGTTGCAAACAAACCAATGTTTTTGCACAAATGCAAGAACACTACATTTTGCAACGATGAGCGGTTGTACACAAGGAATGTTAAGTATATGGTCATTTTTGCATTTATACTTCTAGGGGCAGGTTCTAATGAGAACCGTAAATATTTTTGACAACATGAGAACCAACTATTCATGCTTTATTCATAACAAATGACACAATAGATATTTATGATGAAAATTACCCATGACGAAAATACATGATATTAATGTTGAAAATGCATAATATTCATGATTTTATTCAAGATTATTTGATGATGAATAATTCATGAAATAGTTGGTTCGCTGGTTCTCAAAACATTTATGGTTCTCATTTGAACTTTCCCATACCCTCCTATAATTTGTTAAAATCCCCCATAATCAAAAACTGTAGCATTCTTATGGCATTTCCACAAAAAAACTATGATTAGTCTGCAATGACAAGTCCAAGTATGATAGTTCGAAAAATCAATCACTCCGGATTCTTGTTCTTTAGAAATCATAAACGCCCTTATTGATGTCGTTTTGCAGGTCTCTTGTTTCTCAGTTAGAACAAATTGATCCTAGAACGTTGAAACACGAGGAGAAGCTAGCGTTCTGGATCAATATACACAATGCTCTAGTGATGCATGTACAGTTTCCTATCTTCTACCAGTTGTCCTTTGATATCAAGTTTCAAACAAACTACTTCCAGTTTTGTAATCAATATGAATTTTATATCGTTTTTTACTCCGTTAAGCGATTTGAGGTGACTTTTTTAATCCCATTGCATTTTCATGATCTGTTGCAGGCCTACTTGGTTCATGGAACTCCTCGTGGTGCTCTTAAGAGGATATCGTTAGTCTTAAAGGTGAAATCAGACATTTTACATTTCCACGAATATATCATGATTCTATACCATGTAATCTAAAATGTATTTCTAAATGATACAGGCTGCTTATAATATTGGCGGTCATAACATTAGTGTCGGAGATATACAAAATACAATACTGGGATGCAGACCGCCTCATCCGGGACAGGTATGTTTTCATCAAACTCTAGTGATCTTTGTGCTTATTTTGTTTTTGATATCGATGAAAATCCACCAAAAGAACACTATAGTTCTCAAGAATGAATGAGTTTGGACAAATAATGTTGAGTGTGTTGGTCTTTTTACACTTGCATTTTCACAAATCATCCAAGATCACGTAAGCGCTATATGGATTAAGCTGTCTATATGGATTGAGCTAAATTGTTGTTTGTTTATTGTGCTGAATAAATTGTCTGAATGATAGTTTGCAGTGAAAGGTGAAGTATGATAGTTCAAATTCCTATCACTCTTTACACTTGTATTTTCACAATCGTCCAATATCACTGTATAGATTAAAATGTCAGTATGGATTAAGCTGTCTATATGAATCAAGTTGAATTGTTATTTATTTGTTATGCTGAATAAACTATTTGAATGATGGATTGCAATGAAAAGTAAAGTATGATAGTTCAAAAATCCCATAACTCCTTTTTTATGAGACTAATGATCATTCTTTGCTTCTAGTGGTTTCAATCTTTGCTGTTTCCGAGCCCAAAGTACAAGTCTAGAGATGTACGAAAAGCATACGCAATGAAGCACTCACAACCTCTCGTATACTTCGCGCTCTGTTCAGGAAGCCTTTCGGACCCCATGGTACACAAATCCGAACCTTCACCAGTTCAAGAATGCCCATTTTGCATTTTGTTGTATGAATGCATGAAGAAACACAAAGAAAAACCAGATAGACACTACAACAAAACGGGTCTTTTAGGACGCATTTGTTCCCTCATAAAGTACTTAATGGGTCTAATAAGTTTATAGGACCAAAAACCGGTGCCATATCTAAAGGAGTTGCAATAAGTTGTTAGCACAAAGTTAGACGACTTAACAAGTTCTATCTAACAAACTTGGACAACCTAATAAAACACAAAAAATAAATCGTCTTAATAAAACCTATTTATATGACACTTTTGAAAAAGGTCCTATATATAGAAGGTTAATAGGACATAATTCAAAAGTATTCTATACAAATATTAATGAGACTATTTACTTTTTATGTGCTATTAGATTGTCCAACTTCATCTATGAAACTTGTTAGGTGACGTAACTTCATCCTATCAACTTATTGTAACGCCTTTAGATTGAATGTATTGTTTCTGGTCCCGTTTAGCGGAAAAATCATCATACGATTGATTTCTTTCAAGTTAGATCCATAAAGTTGTGGATCAACCACAAGGGTGGTGCCTGATTGGTTTGAGCTTGGCTCCAAAGGTCAAAAGTACCAGGAGGTCCCAGGTTCAAATCCAAGGAGGAATAAAAATCCCCTTGTGGCCACGGAGGTTCAAATGCGGTGACTCCGGGCTATCTGCAAAGCAGGTGGTCGTCCTGGGATTAGTCGGCTCGCATAGCGGGTTGGATATCCAGGTTAATAAAAAAAAAGTTATGGATCAGCTAACAGCAGCCGTGATTAGGCACCGAACCTAACATTCTTGTTCTTCGTTTCAATGATTCAGGTGCGAATATACACACCGAAGAGCATTTTCCAGGAGCTTGAAGTTGCGAAAGAAGAATACATTCATAGTAACTTCAAGATACAAAAAGGGCAAAAGATGTTTCTCCCAAAACTTGTGGATCTTTATGCAAAAGATTCAGGGTTGTGCCACACTGGTCTGATGGACATGATCGAACATTCGGTGCCTGATTGTTACCAGAAAAGCTTCAAACAGATTCGAAAAGGGAAATCTACGAAGAAAATCGAGTGGGTGGCTCATGATTTCGGTTTTCGGTATCTACTTTCACCAGATTTAGCCAAGTGAAAGCTTGAAATCTGGAAGGTGGTTCATACCCAGATGATGTTTTGTGTGTTTGCATGCATACGGTTTTAGAACCGTGTAAAAAAGGTGATGAAAACCACATAAAATATGCATCGGTTTTTTTTAACAAGATTTTGAGGGTTTGAATGGTTGTGATTGAGAATTGTAGTGTGAAATGAGTGCCATTCTTTTTATTATTATTCTCTTGCATTTTTATATGTAAATTTTACAATAGCAAGAGATGAGTTTGATTATATGTTATGTATATTGTTTCTAATAGTTTTGCATTTTTCAACAAGAAAAATTGCATGAAAAAAATAACGTACTGTAATTTGATTCTTATTTTGGGTAACGTACTTTCAAAATTTTTATTTTGATACCTAAGATGTAAAGTTTTAAACATTTAAGTATCTCGGTAAACGATTGAAACATTAACCAGTTATCATGTTGATGTGTCGAGTGATGTGATATACAACTCAATATTATTTGCTGACGTGGTTAGTGACATGAATTTTTTTTAATCTAAAATTAGTCCTTTTTTAATCTAAAATTAGTTTTGAACCGGTTACCCAGATACTTAAATTTTACATTTTAGGTACCAAAATAAAAGTTTTGAAAGTACGTTACCCAAAATAAAAATTTAGTTAAGGTACGTTACTTTTTCATGCAATTTGCCATTTGCAATATTGTTTCTGGATTAAAATGGGTTGCAACTATTGTAATTGTAAAAACAAATGTTATTTTAATCATGGGTTTTCGGGTCAGTTTACGCACCGACTAATCCTCGAGCAATCGTGAATGGTTTAGAGTCATCGTAGGTGAACTTTCATGGTCACAAAGGCTTGACAATGTGTGGATTCGAACGGGAGGTCGAAAAGGAACAAATGTCGTGTGATCTTGTTTCAAATGAAAGTAATGTGGTCGATTGGCGATTGGTTCTTGATGGGGCTAGTTAAAAAGGTTTAAAAGGGTACCCGTTTTTTTAATAACGGGTCGAGGCTTGAACAATAAAATTAAGGTTTAATAGTTACAAGAAATATTGACTGCTTCGTATTTATTTTGTTGTGCGTGTATATACGGATTGGTTCAAATGAAAAGACTAAATATCGTGAGAATGTAAGAAAGAAATGTTCATATGTGAATCATAAATAAAATCGAAAATTCTATCTGAAAATGTATATAAAAAAACTAAAATACAAGGATGAATAAAAATCCCCTTGTGACTACGGAGGTTCAAATGCGGTGACTCCGGGCTATCTGCAAAGCAGGTGGTCGTCCTGGGATTAGTCGGCTCGCATAGCGGGTTGGATATCCAAGTTAATCAAAGAAAAAGAAACTAAAATACATCTCTAAACTAATTGAGTTAACAAAACTTTTTGGACGGATTTAGACTCAGGGATCCAATGTACTATAAAATACAAACCATAGGGATGTAATTCGTAGATAGTTTAAAATAAAGACCCAAAGTGTTAAAACACATAAACTACAAGGTCCAAATTTGTAATTTACTTTTAAGAAAGGGACCAAATCCAAGACAAATTGCATACGGTGTTGAAGGATAAGTGTTTCATCGTTTAAAGTATATGACGATAATGATAAATATAACGATAAAGCTTAGAGATAGAGATGGTGATAAACATATTAAAGTTAGATTACTGTTATGTTTTCTTATGGTAACCTGTTTGTAACTCATCCCTATTTAAATGTTTTATGATTAATGAGAATAAAACTGATTTCTCGATTCCCTATATTATTTGTTCTACAACATAAGGTTCTTTTTTAATAAACTAGAAGTTACTCGTGCAATACAACGAGATATATCTCTATTTTAATGTTACATTTAATTTTTTTCTTGTCTCTATCGATATTATAATACGACTTTATGTGGTTTTGAAAAAGAGATAATGTTTTTTTAAATAAAATATAAATTTGAAGATACCGTAAATGTGTAAAAAAAATATAAAAGTTTTTGTTTTTTTTATGTAATTTTGTTTAATTCTGTTTTTTTATTATAAATTTAATTTATATTTTAACAACAAAGTAATTTATTTTTGATTTAATAATATAATGCTTTTATAAATATAATAATTAAATATTTTTTTAGAAGTCAATAATTATCTTAATTATATTTTAGATTTTTTATATTTAAAATGAGGTGTTTATTCTCTATTTAATTATGTTTATCTGCGATTAGTTACATGAATTCAAACATGAAGTTTTAATAAGTTGTATTTACGGACAATTTACTTGTAATCTTAAGTCTTAAATAATATGCATCAATAAACAGTACTTCATACAAAAAAAATTAAGAGTTTTTGTCAAATGTTTTATAATATAGTATAAATACTATAGATAAAGATAAAACAACCAATTCCATAACAAATAATAAATTCATTAACCAAAAAATTCAAAACTTAGGGGCTGGTAAGTGTTTAGCGGTAAAATTTAACACTATTATTTACGTATCGATAAGATTTTAGTCTACCAAAACGACATCCTATGCAACAATTTACCCGGTAAACGCTTACCGTGGTAAGAGTCGTCTCCCTCACTTACGGGGTAAGATTCATGGTCCTTGTCTCGCTCTTACCGGATAAGATTTTTTGTTCTTACCATATTCCTCCGGTAAGGTAATATGACTTGGTAAACACTTACCTGGATAAATTTTTGGTAAACGGCCCCTTACTCTATTTTTTATTTAAACATGATTTTTGATTTTTTTTATATAAAAAATTCCATTAAATTTCTTATTCCTTACCTAATAATAAAATTTTATGTTAATGACATGCATGACTGCAAATTGTAAGGATGAAATTGTACAAGTTATTTTCTAATTCGTTCATCGGCTGAGTCTAATAAAAAATCGGAATTAAACCCAAAACCTATCTTCTAATTTAAGCAAAATCACCTTCTCGTTCCTTTAGGGTGCGTTTGGTAATATGGTTATTTTAACACTTTTGTTTTGTGTTGTCTTAATCGTATCAAACATAGGACATACAATTAGTCTTGTGCTGTTCCGTCCTATCTCGTCCCATCCAGTCTGTGTAACACTACCTTACCTTGGGGTGCTCAAAAAACCGACCAACCCGATCAACCCATCCCAATCAAACATGAAATAACTCAACCCGATGTCTAATCGAGTTGAATTTTTTTCAAACCGTAGGTATTGAGTTGATATTGGATTACTATTATTTGAACTCAACCCAACTCGATGAACCTGATATCCTTTTATTTCTTGGATTATACTATCACATATGCTCTTCATATGCACATATTTTCAATCCATTCATATCTCTATATAACTCATTGGTATATATGTTTAGTAATTGTGAACGTATACATGTATATTGAGAAAATTAACTGAATGTGATATATGTAAGAAGTATGGATAAGTTGTGTCAAATGGTTGATAATAAAAAATAAATAATGAGTAAAGAAAAAACATATTTAAAGTTAGAAAAATATTTTAATGTATCAAAGGATCAACCGAACAAGCTTGGATATTGAAATATTATAAAAGGAAAAAAAACGGAGAAGGTGATTTATGAGTGGGGAAGAGGGACGATTTGTTTGATATGAAGAAAGCGATCAATCATGTGTTCAGAAATAACCAGAATCACTTGTATTTCTATACCCCCAACATACCAATAAAAACCCTAAGTTTGTCCCAACTTCCACAAACCAATCGATAATAAGACGAAGCCTACCCACAATCACATTTTCAGTCACAGAGTTATGGATGAAGATGGTATCAGGTTGGTGTTGGCTCGAGCTTCGGAGCTCCGATCCAAGATCACCAATTGTATCCATAATTCATCATCCACTGAGGGTATAAAACAAGACACAGAAACTGAAGATAAAGAAGATGATGATGATGACGACGAGAGCCTTTTGAACATCCGCGATGCTCTCGAGTCTCTTGAGGCCCAACTTTCTTCCTTGCAGGTTTGTTGTCTGTTGTCTCGTTTGTATTGCAGCGTTTCTCTCAGTATTTCGATCTTAAATGGAAAGATGTTGTGGATTTTGTTGCTAATTGCATTATGTTTATAGCTTTCTTTTCTCAATTAGGTTGAGTATCTGTATCAATTTTGAAGTTGAATTGAAGTCCTCAAGTCTGTTTGTTTGATGCTATGGATTTTGTTGCTAATGGCTTCTTATCCATGCTTAGCCTCTTGGTTTCTCTGAGATTGGTTAGTTTCCACTCCCCAATTAAGGCATCATATGAAGAAAGTCTTATTCAAGGCTGTGGAGGATATTATCATCAATCTATAAACTGTTTGGTATTGTTTCTTTGTTCTTTGATGAAGCCATAAAAGGTCCCAAAATGGAAGCATTATTCAGTCCTCCAGATTCTCCTTCACTGCATCCCCTGTTGATGGTTGTGTGTCTTCTTGTGTAACTAAGCAACCATCATTGTCTCAAGCATTTGTGGCAACTATTCATCAAAACCCTTTTTGCAAGTTCTGCACACATCCCTCCAACTGTAACTTCTTTGAATCGCTCCATTCTCTTCTTTAACGCCTGTTGCTAGACTTGCTATCCTCTTTGGTAGCCATAGTGGGATCGAATTGGCTCTGACACCACTTTGTAAGGATCAATTTAGAGGGAGAGATTTTTAAACTTTAAGAGGGTTTAGAAAGAAGCATTTAGAGAGAGAAGCGAGAACATTCTCTTGCAACAGAAGAGTTATTTATAGGTCTAACCTTCTAAGGAACAGCCACCCTACCTACTCATTCAGTTATAACTTATAACTACCAATAAAGTGTTCAACTTTCACACTTCAGACCCTTGACCATGGACAATAGTACAATTCAGCTCTTGTCAACTCATATTCATGACATTATTTCTTCAAAAGATTGATCTTTGTTCTGCTAGGAGTCATGAGTGATTGCAAGGGTAATGTATAACGCTTTTCGACTATGGTTGATCTTTGTTGGCATTTGGCAAGAGAGTAATGCTTGGAGTGTATGAATTTAGAATGAAGTTTAGTCTTTATTAAAATCAGCATTCAACAAATTTGTTCATGCATGTGGTCAAAGTAGGGATTTTTTTGCTTCTTGTGTGGTTGTAATGCATGAGAGTCCATACATTTATGACAAATATAATGTGAACTTGAATATGCTGGAACTTTAATGTAAGCATCAATTTAGTTAGGAGTTTAGGATTTGTGGAGGGTTGATTGGTCGTCGGGGGAAGTGGGAATTGGCTGTAAATTTCGGATATGGATCCTGTTTAGGACTACATCCTCAATCACAACTTCATATAATCTGTCTTATCCATTTTCTAAGTTTCATAATAGAAGCTACTTTTTCTTCTTTCTTATGTACACTATACTGCAGATCTTGGTGTGCATATTTCTAACCAAACCAAACCAAGCAAAACAAGTATATCCCACTTGAAAGTAGAGGCTCTGCAAGGGGTAGGATGTATGCAACCTTACCTCAACCACTAGGATCGAGAGGTTGTTTCCATGAAGGCCTCCAACATGCAGGTTGTACGCAAGCAGGCAATAAGATAAGTAATAAAACAAGTAATCCGAAAAAATAACAAGTAGACTAACGGTTCCATTGTGTCTGCACGATTCAAAGGTGTGCAAGCAGTAAAACATGTAATACAAGTAAATCTAATGTAAATAACGACTTAAACATGTGGGTATGACCCATAAGAAAGTTTAGCAAGAAAGACAGGTCCGGTCCTATTAGGCCCAGCTATCCCACACAAGGAGCCTATTTGCCTACTCTCTACCCTCCACTCTATTCCCTTGACTACACCAAATACTACTAAAAATCAGCCACTCTAGTCCTGTGCCTCCAAGAACTCCTGTCAGAGGTCATGACCTCGGAAATGCATAAAGTTGCCATGTCCGTCCTCAGTTGTTCATCCCACATTCTCCTAGGCTTACCCCTCCTCCTCAACCATGTATATTTCTAACCGTCATGGAATATTTGTCACTCCTCCATCCCAAAATAATTGTCCATATTTCTCTCCATGTTTGTCCCAAAATAAGTATCCAGTTTCAAAAATAGATAACTAAATTCTCAAAAGTACCCTTAATTAATGCACAATATTTAAGACACATAAATTTATTAAGGTTAAAGTTGTCATCGGTTAACTAAATGGTCTAATAATTATGTATGTCTAAAGTTGTGTGTCATTTCTATTGTGAACAGTTATTTTGGGACTGAGGGAGTAACAAATACTGTGTTATGATTAAAAACCGAAAATTTTCGGTTTCTGTTTCCTCATTGTGTCTCCGATATCAACTATGTGAATCTATATTGCAATAACGTCATATTGGCTCTGCCTCTTACCAACATCCTCACCTTCCTACTTTTTCAGGCTTTACAACAGCAACAATTGTACGAAAAGGAAGCATTTTTGGCTGAGATTGATTACAGTCGCAAAAGGTTATTACAGAAGCTGAAAGAGTACAAAGGGGGCGACGATTTAGAGGTCATACAAGAAGCTACTGCTTTTGCTAGCTCAACAGTAGAGATTGAAAACAACGATCTTCTTCTTCCTCCTTACCCGAGGCCCCCTTCTAACTCTCTTGCCTCTGATTCACATTTCCCTTTTAAACACAAAATCTCCCAAAATGGGGTTACAGCTAGCCATTCAGCTAATGAGCTGAAGGGAAGAAGCCACCAATCAGAGCCCAGAGGCTCGATAAAAGGATGGAGACAAGTTATTGGTGCAGCCGCAAAGACGGTATTTACCCTTGTTGGTTTTATAGCTGTTCTGAGTTTGTCTGGTTTTGAGCCCAGAATCGGTAAAAATGATTGGGGCATGTCACAAGAACATCAAGTGAATGAAGACAAGAGAGGGATGAATATTGTCGGGTGCCCACCCGGGAAAGTTCTGGTTGTCGAAGATGGTGAAACTCGATGCCTCGTGAAAGAGAGAGTAGAAATTCCATTCGTCTCTATTGCTACGTCACCAGATGTAAATTATGGGTGCGGGTAAACGGTCGTTTTTTCGTTCTTGCCATTTGTTTATCCAATTTCTATTTGAAATGGTTTTAGTTAAAACTAAATGTGCTGCTTGTTTATGTAGTAAGAATTTTCGACCATTAATTGGTTTATCAGCTGTTTTGGGCCTTTTGGTCATTTGATGTAACACGAAGCAGATATATGTATGTATGTTATCTAGGATAAAGGTCAGGTTTGCGTACATTAAACATTCAGGCTCCACCTCTGGATGGGATATACCGAACCCGTTCGGTTTATCCGTTGTTTTGGGCCTTTTGGACGTTGATGCAACACAAGGCAATTATATATATGTATGTTATTTGGAATAAAGGTCAGATCTACGTACATCTTAAACTTATACCCCCATCTCTAGATGGATATATTGAGCCCATTTGGTTTCTCTCTTTATTTGGGTCCTTTTGCCATTGATGCACAACACCAAGCAGTTATATGTATGTTCTTTAGGAATTAGGATTAGATTGACAATGGGTAAGATAAACCCGTTATCCGTTATGTTTCGACCCATTGAATAAAGGTGTGGGTAAATAAAATTTTATCCACTTATTACTGTTTACTCAACATTTTAATGGGTAGGATATGGTTAAACGGTTTTCTGTTATCAATTACTTGTTACTGGTATATACCTACCCTTTACGATATATACACACACAATAATATAGAAAGTTTATATTAGTATACATAGGAAAGGATCATTTCAGAACTGGTAAGTATTTGAGAAGTAAATAAGTGATCTTAGCCCTTCATATGGTTAACATTTGCGGCTTTGACTATGAAGCACCGGATAGTTCGTTGCATGGGTATGCGAAAGATAGAGATAGTTTCGTAAATTTTACAAATAAGCAGCAAACAAGTTCATATGTGAACCCGTGTGATTCACATATGAACCAGTTCATGTTCATATGTGAACCAGTTAATTAGCTCATATATGAATCGGTTAATTAGTTTATATGTGAATGAGTTAAAATAGTTCATATGTAAATAACACGGGTTCACATATGAACATATAGTTCGTATATGAACCTATTTGCCACGTATTTGTAAACGTTACAAAACTACCCCCTTTAATTTGATCAGTTAAAGCTGCAATTCTTAACCAGTCAAATCCGATTTTAACCATATGAAGGATTATGATCATAGTTCTCAAATATTTATCACTTCTCAAAATAACCTAAGGCTAAATACATAATTATATAAAGTTAAATATTAATATTTTTCTATATAATGTTATCGTATATGTTGTATATTAATATGTAATTTAATTTACTTTTTTATATTTATCAGATAAAAGAGTCCATGATAATTAAATGAAAAACAAAGCGGAGTCGGAAAAACAAATATAGAAATTACAATTATTATATGGCTTAAAATATTATACCATAATTATATTTCAAGTATTATAAAATGTTTACTAGAAGAAATTAGATATAAAATGCTAAATTTATGAACTTATGTTTTATTAACAAGGCAGCAAGTTAAAAGAAAATGCAACGTAATTTGTCTTGCTTCCTGTCAGTATGGCAATTGGTTGACATTTAAACCGGTTATTCAAATACTTAAATGTTCGAAACTTTATATTTTAGGCATCAAAACGAAAGTTTTAAAAGTACATTACCGAAGAAATCAAGGTAAAATACATTAATTTTTCATGCAATTTGCCCTTATTAATATGTTTAAAGTTTAACAAATTTATTTGTAATCGAAAATGAAATTTTGTTTTTACCATTTATCTATTACCCGTTTCATCATCCGGTAATTTAATGGGTAGCGTAGGATATGGATAATTACTCAACTGAGACCCACATTTTAAATGGATAGGGTAACAAAATAACCCTTACCTTGCCCGTTGTCTGTCCTAATTATGATAGAGGTCAAATCTGCGTAATTTTACCTTGTGACCGCACCACTGGATGTGATATACCAAGCCTTTTTGGTTTATCTGTTGTTTTGGGTCTTTTGTCCATTGATGCAACACCAAGCAATTATATATATATTATGCTTTTTAGTATAGAGGTCAGATATAAGATATATTGGGTCTGTCTGGTTTCTGGCTTCTACAGATGGGAGAAAGCTTTTAAAGAAGATCAAGATGCTCTTTTTGTCGGGTCATGTAATGTTACGATGAATGCACGAGTGAGTTGAATCACAATGTTTGTATTCGAATAAGATTTTGATCTCGTTCACTAGAAAACAGTAACATTTCCTTCACTTAAAATCAAGATTAAGATTCTGTCCCACCCTGAGTCTTTATCTTTTTAAGTAAACGATACATACTTCCTTGAAGATTGAACAGTTAAAGTCTACGAAACAGATGATGTACAAGCAATGCTAGGAAGATCAGAGAAAATTGGTTCAAGTTCTTCTTTACAAAAACGGAAAGTTGGATTCATTTTCATCCATATCAGCTTCAAAATCAAATAGTAATTCATCAGCTCCAGCTTCAGTTTCAATACCGTAGTCCTGAATTCCACCAATTTCTTTTGAGAACACCTCATTAAATCCAACGTTTGCAGACATACCCAATAGCAACCTTATTTCAAATGTGGAGACCGTCGACTTTTTAACCATTGGCTCGATCTATGGGTGTGCAGCAACTACCATCTCCAAGCCTGTAGTCCTTTCACTTTCACCAGCTTGAATAGGACTTTGTTCATTAAGCTCATCAGAGTTTTCACTTTCAGATAACACATCTCCTTTACCCCTCGAAGACTCAACCACTTTTTGTTTCTTCTTCTCCCCCTCATGGTGATCAGGATCATCCTGATCATCATGTCTTTGTTTAAGAGAAGTGGCTTGAGCTCGGCAAATATTCTCCAAACTTGAAACACGTTCAGACAGCAAATCAATAGAATTTTGCAAATTTGCAATAGATTGGGTAGAAGTAGCTATTGTAGAACCAAGCTTTGACAAGTTTGAGACTACAACACTTTGAAAGTTAGAAAACTCTGAGGCTCTAATAGTTTGGGACTCCTCCAATGATTGTCTTAGCATCCCGACCAAGTCTGCATCTGTCGAGTCCATGTTTGGTTCACATATCATCTTGGCATATAACATAGACTTAAGATCATCCACCGAGTAATTTGATTCTGCTTGAGGTTGAGGTGCAGGTGGTGGCGACGGTGCATGACTTTCTTCTTCAGTCGGTTGCTTACCCTTCAATAACCGCTTTAACTCGTTGATTTCTTCCATCAAAGTATCATGAAAAGCCTTTAAGGGGTCGTTCAAAAACTCCCTCGACACAAAGTCAGGTAAACTAACACCTGGATCACATAGATTACCAGTTGTAACAACGGTTGAATAAACTGTTGTGCCTACGTTTAATGCTGGAATATCGATAACATTGGTAGGACTTCCGACCTGTCCTTGTAGATAGTCAATTGACTCTACTCTGGTCGTTTCGGCTAGTTCACAAAGAACAGCGGATAGAGCAACAAATGCTCCAGACTCTTGTGTACCTATAACGTGTATTGGCTCTAGACTCGATGTGTACACAATTGAAGTCGTAGACTGGGGCAGATGTCTACTTGTTTCAATATCTTGTTCCTCCGAGTGAGGAACAGGTAGACTTTGTGCTTCATCCCCATGAGAATATGAAACTAACACCTGTTGGGAGGTGTTAGAGTGGCTAGGAGAGATGTGCAATTGCATAGCTGGGCGGGCCATGTCTTCTTCAATGCCGACATTCAACGAATGAATGCCAACAGCAGATGTGGGAACCCGTCTTCTTTTGTAGGTTTGGGTAGGAACTTGTACTTCTTTTTCGGTTCCTCGCTCATTCTCTCCATTTTTCTGTATTTCGTGTTCACTCATACTCTCAGAATTTTCGACTTGTTCACCCTCATCCGACCTTATATCCTCCGATAGACAATCAATTTCACTGAAATCATAGTTTTTTTTGCTGGAATCAAATTCCTTTGATGGAATGTCTTGAAGATTAGGAAATACAGCCTCGTCTAAGTTCTGATCATCATAATTTCCTTGATCATCATCATCATCATCATCATCATCATTGTTTCCTGGATGAACAGCCGAGTTGGTTTCAGTATCTTCCGAGCTCGAAGAAGCAAAAGAAGTACTGTCACCAGAAGATTGAGCCAGATCAGAGTCTTCCCGCGCCAGGCCCCTCTCATTTTCAGTTTGCCTTAACACACAACCCTGTTCAGGTACCCCTTGTACTTGAACTCTCTCATCTATATCTAGACCCTCACAACGCTCATCTGAGGCATGTGGTGATCCCGAGGTAAGTTCTGCCGGTTCTGGCGGAACTATAGGATCTATCGCTCTCCTATATTCTATCACAAGATGAGAACTTTGATCGGCATAAGCTAATAGTTCATCAGGAATATTCATTATTGAGCCCACATCTTCAACTTCTGTGTGTGTTCTTAAACATAGCATCTCATAGTCTGGACCAAAAGGTCTGTCCAGCCTAGAGGGAATAGCTTTGTTAGACCTCATCATAGCTCTTATTATCAGTTGAAGAAATCTTTGGAATGGAATGAATTTTCTAGCTTTCGAGGCAAATTTTTTCGCATGCACTAACTCCTTCAGCTCATTCCAGATCACCATAGTGTAGTCATAGTGTCTGTTGAACACTATGCCGTGAAAGAATTTTAGGAAGGAACTGCTGCAGGTGTCTACTCCGGCAGTTTTAGATGTGAGACATCTGTTTAATATGGAGAATAATGTATGCCACACCGAGGGTAGAAATTTTCTTTTAAACTGCGACGGATTGGTGAGAACTCCAGAATATCCAAGCCTCTTGATGTCTCGACAGAGTTCCTCATCAGAGATAAATTCTTCAAAATCAATTGATCCGGGGACAGAGTTAGGCTTCGGCAGGTTAAGAATCTTCCGCAATCGTTTCAAAGAAAGACGACTCATAAAATTATCCACGTGTCCTTGAAAGAAGTATTGATTTCCTTCTTTAATGTATGAGAGAGTATACCAAAACTGTTGAAGGTAAACCAATGGGACATCAGCCGTAGCAGTGAGTGCATAGGCGATTGGGTGGCCTTTTAAGATTTCTAGTACGATTGGGCATTCGGCAAACATATCAAAATTTAAGCGATGATTGTTCGGTTTTAAATCAAGGTAAAGGGCTTTTGGAAAAATGGCTTCATCAGGGTCTGTATTATTTTCGGACTGGGAGTAAAAGGGTGGTTGATTCTCCTCAATCGACATGTTTTACCTGTAAAATGTTAAACATATTAGACCCATAATAAAATCAATTCCCAAAATAGTTCAAAATTGACTCGAAAACTGAAACGACCACTTTTTGCCAAAATAAATTGCCTCACAAACTAAAAATTCACTCAGACTTTTAAAGGCAAGACAGTAAAGTTTCGTATTTTAGTGAAGCTGACTTTCCCAACCTATATTTAGATGACTTGGAGCATTTATATCATGAGATCAGAAACCAGACGGTCAGATTGGAAGGAGTCGTCAGGGGTATTGAAGCCATTAAAAGATTTCTTAGATGTCAGAGCAAACTTTCTTATGTTATTGATGTGCAAATGGGCTATGAAAGCAATCAGAAGAATGTTAATCTGAAGGTGCCAAATTAAAACCTAGAAGACATCGATGGCTATCATGTATTCATGATTCTAGAAGATACAGAGTTTGAGGTAATCTGTGAGAACTCCAAGAAAGCTAAAAGGTTCTTGAGATTCAGTGAACTAAACAAGTATTGTGATGGAACTATAAAGTTAGTGAGGAAGAAACTTGAAAGCAGAAAAGTTCAAGATGACAAAGCTACAAGGTCTGACAAGTTAAGTTTTAGAGAGAGATTCCTGCTCATCAATGCTGTGGAGTTACTAGATGAGAAGATTATATACAAGAATGTTATCAGAAGATTTGAGACTAATTTGGGCTTTCGAAGATCAAGATTTTCTATTTCTCGGGTTTGAATCAAAAAGGGGAGAATGTTGAGTTCAAATCATTGTGCTTAAAGTTGTATTCAAGCTTATGTTTCTCTCTTATAATTTTGTCTTGTAATCTTGAATTGTTATACAATTGGTTAATCTTTCTCGGTATTAACAACTCAAACTCAAACTCAAACTCAAACCAATCAAGCACCACGCAATTAGAATCCTCCTTATTTGATTCAATATAAGAGCATCTCCAAGATTTCCTTATTTTCCCAATTTTTCCTACATTTTAGAGATTCTCAATTGTTTTCTATAGTTTAGAGGAGAGATTTTTGAAGCAATTTTTTCCAAAATCTCCAAAAAGAAAAAACATAATTGGAGATACTCTAATGCAATAGATAATTATTTAAAGTAAGTTATCATCCATACCACACTGACTTTTGATTCTTTCATAGTATTATCCTCTATCATACTCATACCCATTTTTCAAAACGAACCGATTATCGCCATAGGGTGCTTTTGGTACACGGACATGACGTAACTGGAGTGAGTGATGTATACAGATGAAAGAAATGTGAAAGGTTTTAACTTGACATGAGCAGTTTAATAATTTACCTATCTTGTCCCATTTAGTTCTAACTTGTCACGGTCTAAATGTCATGCCAAAAGTGTGGCATGATTTTGTTCTGTCCTATCATATCTAGTTCTATATACCAAACGCACCCTAAAACTTGATCCTAAAAGACAAGATGAAAGACACCACAATGGTTGTAACTGTCCAATCCGACAACAAACAACAAAAGAGGAATCAACAAGGTAGATGGATTCAAAAAAGACCCAAGGCTGTTTGATAATTAGTGAAATGCCATTTGTTGTAGGGCCAAATTTATATAATGTAGTACCAGAAAATGATCAACATAAAATATATTTTCCTAGATTCAAACATAACATGATCAATCTCAACAAATTCGTCTAAACCGTCTCATCTTCATCCAACAAACCCTTAATTGCAACATAACTGCAAAACAAGATCATAATCATATCACTTGGCTAAATCAGAACATTCATATAGATGAGTATTCAACTTTTTTAAAAGAACAAGAAATTGATAACACATTTAAAGAAGATGGCTTCTTGATTGTGACGAGGCATTCATTAACAATCAATATATCATCTTCTTTATAGAAAACTTATTAGGGTTTTACCATGACAATTCAAACCCTAAACAAAGAGGAGAAACGTGCAAGCAAAGATGGATAATTGACATTCATTCCATAAATCAACAATCTGCTTTATTTTACTAGAACTCCAATTGATTCCCTAAATTTATTGTAACAATGTTGCTTTATATTAAAACTGCCCAAGCTTTTTAATCTCCTAACATTGGTCATAAACAAAATTGCACATCACTAGTACCATGAATTTGAGATAGCGCATATCACCAAACACAAAACATTGAGTAAAGTTGTTAAAGGCTCAAGGCGCACTTGGGACAAAGGAGTCATGGGGTCAAGTGCGAGGCAAGGCGTGAGGCACAGGCCTGGGGAATGCGAGACGCATCGTATTAGAAAAAGTATATATATATACACACACAGAGAGAGTTAGACACAACTCAAATATGTAGCAAGTACTCTAAGTACTCCCATGCAATAACCAGCAGTACTTCGATAGAGGCAGAAGGGAAAAGGGTTTAAAGCGTGAGCCATGAGGAAGAAGTTTAAGTTCTGGGTATTTATAAAGAAAGTTGCTTGAAGTTATAAGAATTGTGCATTTTTAATCAAGGCTATCTCATCTATTTAATAACTCTTTTTTTAAGAAGTTTAAGAGATAAGAAGATGAGAACTTATTTAATATTGAGGTTTGACGTGGTATTTAATAACTCTTTATGAAACACGCCTAGGCCCACAACATGCCTCAGCAAAGGCGCAGGGCCTTAGTGAGCCTCGTGAATACGCTAGCCTCGACTTGAAAAAAGCCCAAAACCTTGAGCCTTATAAGCCTCAGAGCGTTGCTTTTAACAACTATGGCATTGGCTATGACCACCCCCAACAGAAATCAAATTAATATCATTTTGTGCAATTGTAATTGATCCCAGCCACCAAACTCAATGTCGATGGTATAATAGACAACCATCACATCAGTCAATGCAGGTATAGCTACCAAAACATAACAACTTTATTCCTATAGATCTAACATGGATGACGTTACATCTAACAGATTTGATTAACATGGGATTTGATGTTTGAATTTAATACTGGAATTCAGGCTAGTATAGCAGAACTGAATTTTATTTCCAAGTCTTATATTTGAAGCTTCCAAACATACCGTATGTAACTATGAGGTATCAGCAAATATTACCACGGCAGCAATCTATATAATAAGTGAAAGTTTTATCCAGGGCGCCCACTATCAGTGAGTGTGGACACAGTAAACAAACTTATAATGCTGCAGAATTGCATTCTATTCTAAAGTTCACTGCTTAGGGGAACTTAAGTGACTGCCTAAACATTAAGCTTTTGCCTACAAACTCAATCGCTGCTTCAGCATTTAGCGTCCCACCACTTCAGTTAGCAACCAATTGTCCAATTCGATCAGCTAGCTAGCGGCCAATTGTTGAATTAAGTATTTCAAAAAAGTAAGCAAAGACTAGTCTATTATTATCAACCCCTGTTCATCAATTGATTGTTCTTAACATGGAATTAATTTTAAATCCTATCTCCGTAATCATATCAATGGAACAAAATAATATAGTAATTCTCATATGTTTCCTTAATCTAATCTAAAAGTAATTATATTTCATATATCAAAACACTAGAAAGCCCTTCAACCGACTAACCCTACCTTTTCAGAACACCGGAAATATCATAATTTTTACGGCTAGAAACCCATAAATTAACATAAAATTCAAACAAATTGATGGGGGATTTGAGTGATTACCTCTAATAATTAAGCTGTCACCGGATGAACAGAACTAGAAATCAAGAACAAGCTCGTCTTTGCTGTCGGAGAAGTAATGGAGAACATAAGGAGTGACCCGAATAGCAGCAACCCACGCCCCGAATAAAGCAACATGCACACGAAGTTGCTTCAGAGCAGCTTCTTTGTCTGGTTTTCGCATGAACATCCCAGGAAACATCTTCGATCCGATATGCGTTGAATTTTCCTTTTCCGATTGTTGAGATTTTCAGCGAATTAAAAAACCCTAACCCACTCTCTCATCTTTCTCGAAAGTCGAATCTCGACTCGTATTTATTTGCAAGATCTTGGAACTGGATCTGGCAAAATGTCAGCCCACAAAAGGGTTAGCAAACTTAGGCCCATACAGGCCCAATTTAACATGTGTTTCAAAATTCAAATTAAATCATTAATTTATTAAACATAATTTTAAAATTATTGACAAAAAGTTGATTACCGACAATTTTAACCGACTTCACATAGAATCCGTTTTCAAGTACACCAATGTGACAATATATTTTTTGGTTCATTTAGCGGTTGAGGCTAGCGGGGACTTGAGATGGAACCTGAGATCTGTCTTGTAGGGGAGTTTAAAAAACCGATCAACCCCAACCACAAGGGTGGTGCCTGATTGGTTTGAGTTTGGCTCCAAAGGTCAAAAGTTGTAGGAGGTCCCAGGTTCAAATCCAATGAGGAATAAAAATCCCCTTGTGGCCACGGAGGTTCAAATTCAGTGACTCCGGACTATCTGCAAAGCAGGTGGTCGTCCTGGAATTAGTCGGTTCGCATAGCGAGTTGGATATCCAGGTTAATCAAACAAAAAAAAAAACCGATCAACCCCGCTTACCCAACCCAAAAGAATTAACCCAAGGTAACATGTCATCTAATCGATACAAAATTAGGGTAAACAGAATATGTTGGGTTGAAATTGGGTTAGGCCCAAAGTAACCTGACCAACTTGATAACCCGATGAAAGTTTTAGCGGATTCTCTAAAATGATTTACATTTCTATCTAGAGATGGCAAAAAACCGGTCCCAGGCCGGGCCCAATCGGTTCTAACCTTTCTCATAACCGGCCATAACCGGTCTCAGCGTAATCGGTCCCGGTCCCGGTCGAAAATGATAAGACCGGTCAAGGTACTTCATAACCGGGTATGGGCCGCCGGTCCCGGTCTCGGTCCCAACCGGTCCTTACATTAAAAAATAAGATTTTTTTTATTTTTTAATGATATATATTTTTAATACATTATAAATTTTACAATTGGGTCACTCAAATACACTTTAAAAATGCGTTTTAATATAATTAAAATTACGTTTTCTTATAAAAATACATTATAAAATTATTTAAAAATACATTTATTTATAAAATTATTTGAATTTTCGGGCCGGGGTGGTCCATAACCGGTCCAATAACCGGTCCCGGTCCCACGAAACTACAAAAAAACTCAACTGGTCCCCGTTTTCGGTCCCATAACCAGTCTCAGATCGGTTCTTTGTCGGTCCCGGTCCTCCGACAGTCCCGGGCCGGGCCGATTTGGCCATCTCTATTTCTATCTAATATGTATAGATTACCAAAAACGACTCCGCAACAACGAGCAATGAAACTCATGAAGACATTATTAAAAGGTTATATGTGATACCTAAATTTTTGATGAACTCGTATATTCTCTTGAATCATTACCCATATCTCATATGAATGTTTTCTCTATTTTTATGTTCCTAATGTTGATTTTACTTTGTTTAAACACAACTCGGCCAACCTGACCAAACCGACCAACCCAAACAAGTTGGGTTGGGTACCGCCAACATCGGGCTGAATTGTTCAAATGTCTTTAACCCGATCAACCCAACATCCATGAATACTCCTATTGTCTTGTATTTAGATAAAGTTGTCCCACACCTTTTCCAACTAAGGGGGTGTTTGAGATTGTTTATAAAAATAACTTATTGACTTATTCCGATGTGACACCGATAATAAGCATTTTTTTGAGTGTTTGGATAAACAACTTATACCGATGTCAAACCAGTAATAACGAGTTTTTGAATAAGTTAAACCACTCTAACTTATAATAAGTTGATAAACATTTTTATAAAAAAACATAAATTGTTTCAAATAAGCAATCTCAAACACCCCCAAACTACACATTAAACACCATAATTTCAAAATCAGACCACGATTCTAAAATTATACACATAAATATGTCGTTTTGTTAACTCAACACTTTTTTTAATTTTTTTTATAAATAGTTAATATATTACGTATATTATAAAAATGATGTTATTGCAATAATAATATAATTCTATTAACAAATCGATATATTAGGTTTATCTATACTATATTATATTAGTATTTGACAAAAACTCTTAAAAAACATTTTTATCCATGAAGTACCATTTATTGATGCATATTATTTAAAATTCAAGATTACAAATAAACCGTGCGTATGTACAACTTATTAAAGTTTCATGTTTATATTCGTGTCACTAACTGCAGATAAACATAGTCAAATACAAGATAAATATTTCATTTTAAATATAAAAAATCTAAAATATAATTAAAATAATCATTGATATCTAACAGAATACTTAATTATTATTTTTTTAAAGATTATATTATGAAATTAAAAATAAATTACTTCGTTATTATCTAAGTTAAATTATAATAAAAAATTGAATTAAAGAAAATTACATAAAAATAAGAATTTTGAAATAGTTAACCTGATATGATATTGATATATTTGATATCTTCAAATTTATATTAATTCAAAAACATTATTCTTTCTCAAAACCACATAAAAACTGTATTATAACATCTACAAAGACGGAATAAAACGAAACATTAAAATCGAGATATATATCGCTGCATTGCGTGAGTACCCTTCTAGTATATTTAAATATATTTTAGATAACCTTGATTTATTTATAATTATTTTATACTTCTGAATATATTTAAAAACTTATTTTTAGTAATAATTTTTTTAATAAATAATATATTTAAAAAAAATAAATTGTAAGGTCACATTTAATTTGTTGACAAGACCTCATGTCATGATCGCTCTTCATAGTACCCATGAAGAATGTTAACCACTACTTATACAAGATTCATTGTATGTAAGGGAATATCCGTCTCATTAGAAAACTCGGTGTACTCGTTTCAAAGGGGCCAGGGATTCTCTATAAACCCGAAGACCAGGATGGGGACGGGATCCCCAAAAATTCAAAACCCGAGATAGGAACTGGATCGAGTAACGTGATCCTCTACTCGTTATGTCTCCGTATATTAAGAGGGTGTTTGAGATTGCTTATTTGAAACAACTTATGTTTTTTCTACAAAGGCACTTATCAATTTATTATGGGGGTGTTTGGGATTGCTTATTTTAGGTGTTTTTTTGACTTATTTCAATCTGACATCGGTGATAAGCTAAATACTAGTGTTTGGATGAGGAAAAATAAAACTGCTTATATCGGCGTCAAACCGGTAATAAGCAGTTTTTGCTAAGTTAATCTTTTATGATTCATGAAAAATTGTTTATTATCAGTTTACCATTTTAACCCTGTTTTATTAATGTTTGTTAATTATTAATCTTATTGATATAAATTTTTGTCAAATATATTATTATAAACGATGAAAAATAATTTTTTACATGTTAAAAAATCAAATAAGTTAATAAGCAATCTCAAACACTCTCATAAGTCAATATTATGGAAAACTGTCTTTTTTGGTCATTTTACATATATAAGCAAAATTTGTCAAACACTAAAAAATAACTTACGAGCTTATTGTTTTTTGGTACCGCTATAAGCTAATCTAAACATTTTTTTACAAACTCCGGTTTGATACCACATAAGTTAACAAATACTTTTACAAAAAAAGTATAAGTTGTTTTAAATAAGCAATCCCAACTATAAGTCAGAAGAGTTTAACTTCTATAAAAACTTCTTATTACTGATTTGGCACCGGTATAAGTTATTTATCCAAACACTCAAAAGTGCTTATTACCGGTACCACACCGGAATAAGTCAATAAGTTGTTTTTATAAGCAATCCCAAAACCCCCTAAATATATCATTTATATAAGGACTTAGATTTAGAAAAGAGTATTTTGACATTTGTTTGTACATACATTTTTTTTACTTGTAAAAAACATAGAGGTTAAAGCGTTAAACAATTATATATGAATATTTGATATTCCATAAAATCAAAAACTGTGAAAATATGTGAAATTTAAATACGGATGATTTTGAATAGAGTGTGGTGTTTAACACATATGATATAAAATATCTCAAATAAACGAGAAAAAAAAAATCCTCGATTCTCCATTGAGGAGGGGATAGGGATGTGATCATATTCCCCAACGAAGATGGGATTGGGGTCCCCGCCCAATTCCTTACCTATTATGCTGCTATCTCTTTGGTAATATGCCGAACTCGAATGGTTTTAAACCTGAATCTAAACCGAACAAAAATAAGGTGTTTATGTCGAACCCAAATGTTCCGAAATCAGAAAATTTGAAACCCGATTTTTGGGGGGTGATATATAATTTTTAAATATTATATAAATATATTTCTTTATCTAATTACTTTATGAAAAATTTAAATTTTAGTCGACCGTACTTTTAATTTCTAAACCGACTATCGATTTTATCAATCCTCTCAATTGCTTGAATTCATTCTCGGAGTCGATTAAATGTGTATATATTTTTTTGCATATAACTATACCTGACCCTGACTTGAAACCCGACCATCCGAACCTGGAGCAATCCAAAACCCATAATTTGTTAGTTTCCATATTCGAAATCTGATCAAATTTTTGGGTTATCCACCCGAACCCGCCGACCCAATCAATGCACACTACTTTTACATACGTTCAATCAAATTTGTGTTCACAAAAAAGTACGATGTTGGTTCTTTTTTTTTATTTATGTTGCTTCAACTTAACCTGTAAAACAACAGATAAGAAGGAACCCAAACTGTTTCATGGATGGTGAACGAAAACGTGGTTATTTGATTTGTGTATCAAATACCAGAAGTATGTATCGTTTACTTGAAACTCCAATTGTTCCTTAAGACCATCGACTACAAGGATTTCCAAGAGAAATTATGGTTATTATAAGTACGCTTTTGTTAAACAGTTGAACTAAATTTCAACAACCATAAAAAATATGTGACTTTTTGGACTAAGTTACGTGTTTTTTTTGTTAACTGTGGGTATTTAGTCTAGCTTGTAAATACCCCAACTAATCCCAGAGGCCCTGAAAAACAACTAGGAAAATCCCAGTGACTTGATTGTCAGTTGAGTTAACCACACAAGATTCTAATGTTTGGTGTTTGGTCCGAACCTACCAGGAATAACCGGTCCCGGTTCCGGTCGGGCGGTCCCACAAATCCCTCCAAAATTGTAACTGGTCTTGATCAACGGTTCCTCAACCGGTCCTTACAGGTCCCGGTTCTGGTCCTTCGACAGTCCTGGACTGGGCCGGGCCGGTTTGTGGCTCCTCATTGTGATCACCTGGGCTTGGCACCTTCAATATCTTCTTCATCTTATCATAATCTCCAACATAAGAAAATCATTTAAAAAAACATTTAGATTTCGTTTCGTTTGCAGGAATGAAATGGATTTGGGAGATTTGGATTTTAAATCCATTTCAATCCATGCTTAGTTTGTTGGATTGTCCGGATTTAAAATCTTAGAATTTAATTGAAATCCTACAAACATAAGATTTTGAAATCCTTAGGGCGTGCTCAGGATTTCATGGGATTTCATAGGATTTTATGAAACAATGTTTTAAAAAATGTTAACCATTTATTTTGTAATAATAATAAAAATGTAATTTAACTATTTTTAATTTTTTATATATTATTTATAAATAATGAAATCCAATTCCATTCAAAATCCTACAAACCAAAACACAAATAATTTCAAATCCATTCCAATCCACGTCCCTCCAAATCCAAATCCCTCAGTGAAATCCAATTTTCTCAAAAACAATCCTGCAAACTAAACGAACCCTTGAGTTAATTCAACTATGAAAAACTAAATACTTATGGGTTGTCAGTGTTATATCAATATAAAAAAAACAATGATCGAGTTGGGGTTGTATTCAAGATCCTAAATGGTGTGGGGCGTGTGACGATTAGGTCAAATCTCAAGTCTTATGTGTCACGATGAGGTTATTGTGTTTTTCAATGAGACAATGACATTAAACAATTTAAATTAGGTTTACATGTTAAAAACTAAAAAGGTTTAAAAAACAAATAACGCTTTTACGAAAACCGTGTATTAGATCTTGACGTGCTACTGACTTAACGTGCTTATCATATTAACAGGGTTTAATTGAGATTTTCCTAAACTCTATAAATTCAACTATATTTCAAGTCTAAAGACAACAAGAGCTGTGAAGAAACCTTAGTCTTAGGGCTTGTTTGTTTATTTAAAAGAAGCTCTTAATACCTCTTAAGTCTGAATCGGTCAGACGTTTTTATTTTCAGACAGTTTGATTTTTTTTGAAAATAAGAGCTGAAAAACTCTTATTGTCCTCTGAATTTTTAAGTGGTAGTCTAAACTCTTAATGGGCTCTTATTCACACACCATATCGATCTCTCGTTCTCTCGCTTGATTTCCAGCTACCAAATCATACCGATCTATCTACATCATACGATCTAGACACCATATCGATCTCTCGCTCGGTCTCAAGCTACCGATCTATCCAAAACGATCTCTACAAATCGATCTCTCCTATATATGAGTTATTTTTTGAGTATGATCAAACCAATGAGCAAAGGATGATGGCAACACAATTAATGCAATATGAATATTGGTTCTAGTCGTTATGAGACTTTTTTCGTGTTTATATTGATTCAGATTTCAGACTTCAGACGTAAAAACAAACAGTCTGACTGATTCAGATTTCAGACTTCAGACGTAAAAACAAACAGTCTGACTGATTCAGATTTCAGACTTCAGCACCACCTCTTATAAATCAGAAGTGAAATCAGACTTCAGACTTCAACACCTCTTAAAAAACAAACACCACCTTAGTTTTACGAACAAACCCTAAATGCGTACATTCTAAAAAGAATATGAGAATAGTGGAATGTTCAAATAAGAATAGTAAATATTGTGAGAAAGTAAAAAAGAAAACGTTAATGAAATATTCATATGTGAATCATTAAAAATAAATCAATTTGAAGATGCATATATAAACTCTCATGAATAATCTGTAACTTCGGTTCACATATATATGCATCTTCAAATAAATTTAATCAGAAGTTTTCAATAGATTAATATAAACCTTTTTTTTCTCACGATATTTAACGTTTTTATTTGAATATGCTCGTATAATAATAGAAAAAAGGTTTTTTTGACTGAATATATGTGAATTGGATAAAAACAAAATGAAAATAGCTTTCAAACTAAGGATGGTGATTTACCCCGACCCAGTGGGGAACCCGGCTCACCTGACCTGAACGGGGATTCCCCACTAAAACGGGTCCCGGGCCGAGGGCTGTTACTTAAACCCGGGTTAGGGCTGGGGCCGGAGATCCCTGACAGACTCAAACTAACAGATATTCTTCTTGTGGTTTGACCGGAGCCGAGACCGGAGACTGTTACTAAAAACCGGAGTCGGGACCACGGATTACAAAAACCGTCCTATCCCCGCACCGTTACCATGCCTATTTCAAACTACAAGTCGAGAAAAAACAACAAAGATACGTTGGTGCCTTCCATCTTTTACAGAATAACACTTTACCCCCTCTTTGTCACTACTTTCGAGAATGCTTCAACCAACCCTTCAGTATGCAAGAAATCACCATATATACCCTGAAACACAAACCTTAAAATAAGACTGATAAGTATGCAGATAGCACGGAGTCACCGCATTTGAACCTCCGTGGCCACAAGAGGATTCTTATTCCTCCTTGGATTTGAACCTGAGACATCTTTGTACTTTTGACATTTGGAGTCAAGCTCAAACCAATCAGGCACCACCCTTGTGGTTCACTGGTAGAAGGTTAGTACGTGGGTAATTGGGCATTTTCACAGACTTCATGTGTATAGATTAACTCCGAACATAACAAGTCTTTGTGTTGAAGAACGGGTGGAAACAAAAAAGAAGAGGTGATAAAAAGATCACAACAGTCTCACGTGGAGGCATTATATGGGACCAACTTAACGGTCGTTAGAGGGAGATACCAGTTCCATAACAAAATACATATCGTCTTCCTTTTGTATACTTTTATGAAAAAATGAAACTTAAGGGACTATTTTTGTAAAACTGAGATACTTCAGGGGCGTGGATATTTCGACGTAATTAACAAGCGACATTGACGAAGTCCAAATGATGGAACTGCTTTCTATTGAACGCGGTTGTATCAAAATCGAACCCCTTTGAAATGGTCGTTGCATGGCATCTTCGATGGAGACATCTCAAAGTTCTTCGTCGCTCTTGAAGTCAAGTCTTCGTTCTTCAATTAGGTACGTCATTGTCGTTTATTATAATCTAGGCATGCTTAAAACTACCATGCACCATGACCGATTGAAAAACCCTTTTCAAGGTAATTCCTGTTTTCACATTTGATTTCCCACGAAATTGTGAATATTATACTATATGGATAGCTTCAATTAGTTGTGAACTGTCGTAGTTGATTGGTTTTTCGGAAAATTGAAATGGTCGTTGAATCTCGGATGGAGACATCTTAAAGTCAAGTTTTCGTTCTTCAATGGAGTATCTAACTGTCGTTTATTTTAATCTGATACATGTTGATCACCATACACCATGATTCCATGAGAACTTGACAAACGCTTAAATTCTGTTTTCACTTTTGATTTTCCATGAACTTGTGAAGATTAAACACTCTGTTTTGTTTAGGGTTAGCTTCAATTTAGAATTGGTATATAGGGTTTATATTCAAGCTGTTCGTAGTTACGTTGGCGAGATGGGTAGTATTATTAGAAGTATATTTCCTATTCGTTCTTCGAAAGAGGATGATGATGAGTATAATGTGGAGTACTCTTTTGCCATAGAGTACACTGGTCCTCCGGTTTCTTATGATATTCCTAGGGCAGTTCCTGTTGATGTTGTCTCTATTCCGCTAGCCTCTGTTGTTTCTGTATCTAGTTCTGGTGATCTATCATTACCAATTATCCATCCTGTTGTTAAGAGAGATCCTAAGTTGGTTTTGTCTGAAATTAACGAGAGTCGTCTTGGATCGGATCTGATAGGTGCTGATGCACACTCACCTAGTTCACCAGAGGGAGATAGAAGTTCTATTTCATTAGGATTTTCTGATAGTCATGAGAATTCTCAGGAGTTTTCCATGAGTTCAGATGGAGATCGTTTGGATAACTATTGCCATGAGATTGTAGAGTTGTATGATGCTAGTGAAGAGAATCGACCTCACGAGGTCTTTTCAAGTTACGATAACAGAACTCAGATTGTTACTTTCAATGAACCTGAATCTGATGCTATGGTTCAAGAGGAAAGTAGTTTTGATGACCCGGGAATGGTGATTCAAGAAAGGCCGCATGCTAGTTCTCATGTCAAGAAAGGGTTATGCCACCGCTGCCTTAAGGGAAATTGGTTCACCTTTAAGGAGTTTTGCATTGTATGTGATGCAAAATACTGTAGTAATTGTGTGCTGAGAGTAATGGGGTCAATGCCAGAAGGTAGGAAATGCATTACTTGTATTGGGTATCCTATTGATGAGTCAAAACGTGAGCATTTGGGGAAATGTTCAAAGGTTCTTAAGCAATTGCTCTCAGATTTTCAAGTGAAACAGATAATGAAATTTGAAGAGTCCTGTCACATAAACCAGCTACCGTATTGGCTTCTTACCGTGAATGGCAAACAACTTTCTCTAGAAGAAGCAGTTCAATTGCGTACCTGTGCCTACCCACCAAAAAGCCTTAGACCAGGAAGCTATTGGTATGATAAGTTGTCTGGTTTTTGGGGAAAGGTGAGGCTTCAGACTTTATTTTTGTTGTTTACAAAATGCTTCGTCTATAATCATGCATATATCTGTTTGCTTTTGTGTATTAACAAGATGGATGTGTTGATAAACACTGAAATATCAGTAACCAAAGGAAACCAAGCCAACCCACTATATCCCACCAAGGGGTGGGGTCTTGGGAGTATAAGATGTACGCAGACCTAGCCTCTAATATGAAATGTCTGTGTTTGGTGATTTTTACATACCCACTTTTGTGTCATATGGATCATGATATGTTCCATATTTTATCCCATCTTGTCAAAAATATTACGTGTTGCATTTGCATATATTTTGGATGTTCATTTTGTATAACAATGAATTTGGTAAAATTATGAACAGGAAGGGCATAAGCCTTGCCAGATTATTAGTCCCCAGCTGTCTGTTGGTGCTCCCATTAAGGAAAATGCTAGCAATGGGACCACAAAAGTAAAGATAAACAATCGGGTGATCACCAAAGTGGAGCTATTGATGTTAAAGGTTAATGTGCTCAAATAATTCAGGATTACAGAATATTAGGTCAATATCTAACTTTCTTGCATGCCTGCAGTTTGCCGGAATCAATTGCGAAGGTTCCCCTAGTTTTTGGGTAAGCCATGATGGATCCTATCAGGAAGAGGGACAGAATCAAGTGAACGCAAAAATATGGGAAATGGTCTGTAGTTTATTGATGTTTGAGCTCTTTATCCTACTTTTAATGTAACTATCAGATGTTTACTAGCACAACTCAACTTAGCTTGTCTTGATAACTTTGGTTTCAGTCTGGAATAGAGGCAATTTGTGCACTCTTGTCTTTGCCAGTGCCATCCAAATCCTTTATCTCGTATGCAGAAGATATGGTCAACAATGGCGGTAAATTGGGGCAGGAAAACATTGATACGAAATCGCTAACAAAACTACTTCTAGTTGGTCAAGATCAATCTGGGACAAGCGCTATCTATAAGCAGGTACAACATAGTGAAAAGAAAAAAACTTTATGCGCTGTGCAAATCATTTGAGATGAAAATCTGATAAGAACAGTCTGATGCTAGAAAGATTCCAATATGCAAAACAATTGTACCCCCTTTTTCTAAAAAGAAACATGAAAGTTTGACTGGGTTAATGGAAGTGTTTGACTATTATTCAAATATCTATAAATATCCATGAGTAATGACATTATAGAAGAAATATTGTCAACCAAAACCAATGCATTCGTTATGTTGTAATGCACTAATTATGACTAGGTGATAAAAAGGGAATTTGCTTTAAAGGTTTTGCCGAAAGGGACTATTGCATTTGTTTTGGAATATCCCAAAAAGTAAACATTAGCATTTATTTTTAGATGGAGCAGATTGTTGCATTTGTTTCTTGTTTGTCTGTCTTTTTGAATGATGTTGCTTACTTCTAAGTTGTTTTCAAATTTTAGCATTGCGTTTCATTCATTCAAGTTCTTATGTTCTAGTTCTGCTAATTTTTTGAGCAAGTTTACCTTTTCTTTTCATACACTTTGCACAATCCTGGGGGGTCTTCTTGGAACCAGCCATTCTACTGTTTGGGATGCATCTTACGTGTTTTTTTTTTTTGAAGTATATAATATTTATATACGGCAAATAGAACAAATAAACTCACACACCCTCCTCATCTTTGGTGAGGTTTGAACCCTTGACCTCCTAAAAGGCCAATGACTCACATACCGCTAGGCCAAAGGCCCTTTGGTATCTTACGTGTATTCATGATAATGGCATTATTGAACATAGCTGCTCCCTTTTCAGGCCAAGATTCTTTACAATGTTCCATTCTCGGAAGATGAGCGTCAAAAAGCTAAGTCATTGATCCAAAGCAACTTGTATCTTTATATCAGCATTCTGCTCGAGGGTGTGAAACAATTTGAGGAAGAATATTCAATGCAGATAAGGAGAAAACTCATGGATCAACCTAGTACTTCAGGTATGATGAGTAGATTTTGGCTATGTTTGGCAAACTAGCTGATAATGATAAGCTAGTTGTCGGCTGATAATTTTCATGTCTACCTTAAAGTATTGCAATCTGAAGCTTTTATTCTCAGCTGCAGGGGGTTTGGCCGAAAACATTGAAACAAACATTTATTCATTAAGTGCAAAACTGAAATACTTCTCCGACTGGCTTCTTCAAATTGTGGCATCAGGCAATCTGGAACTTGTTTTTCCAGCTACAACACGTGAGTATTCACCAGTAGTTGAGGAACTATGGAACAATAAAGCCTTTCAAGCAACCTATGCTAGACGGACTGAACTTCATGCGCTCCCCATAGTTGCCGATTATTTCTTACCTCAGGTATGAGCTCACAAGTCATATATCTCCTTCCGGCCCAAAATACATGTCCACCGATGAAAAATACACACAATTTTAAAATTGTGTAATTATTACACTTTTTAATTAACTAAATGACAAATTTACTCTTAAAAATAGAGGGAGTAATGAATTTATCCATCTCATTATTAAGGGTATAATTAGAAAATAGACACTTATCCATTAACTAAAATAGAAATGTAAAGACAATTATTGGGACAGGGGGAGTAATTGATATAACAAGATCTTGCTTGTTTAGATCAAAATTTTCATGTGGTTCTTGTGTAGGCTGTTGAAATCTCGAGGCCAACTTATGAGCCTTCTGATGTGGACATTCTGTATGCTGATGGCATTTCATCTTCTAATGGGCTTACTTCAATGGAGTTCTCGGTTCCCTCTTTGCTTCCAGATATCTTCATGGAGGCCACCGAGCAGACCAATCTACTCCAAAGGTTAGTATTTTGTCACACGTAGCATAACCACCCATCCCCGCTGATCTGTACCAGAGGTAGAGGTACGACTTAAAATCCACATGTGTGAGGTTTCAGGTTCGAGCCCAGGCACCACCCTCTGCCTTTGGGGATGTATGCTCGATTTACCTCCCCATGATGACCGTTGGACCGTTGCGGTGTGGCCGTGGGGGCGCTCCAGAGGGTATCAAATACCCTCTAGGGCCTTCTGGCCCTCTGAACTGCCTCTGGCACAGGAGTTAGAATCGATCAAACCAAAGCCAAACAAAACTAGTATATCCCATCTGAATTCGGTTTGGGGAAAAGATGTATGATGACCTTACATTTGTCTCAAAAGACAAAGAGGTTGATTCCGAGAAGACCCCTGGCTTGCAAAAAGGGTAAATAAGACAACTAAAAAGCACAATAGTAAACCACAAGTTTGGGATTATTTTTGTAGATGGGATTATAAAAGAATGCAAAGATCCTACTTATAGCTAAAAAACACACATAACACACCAAATTTACACACAGTAACACCGAAACCCCATTTTTGGTAGTAAAAGGGAAAGATATCTTTACAGGTACCAACTGATTCGAGTGAATTCAAGCAGCTTAGGAGACAACTGTAAATGGCTAACCATGTTTGAAGACATCGATCTCATCCTCTATTGCGTCGACTTAACTTCCTACAACGAGTTTTACACCGACAACAACTTAATCGTCAAGAACAAGATGTTAGAAAGCAAAAACATCTTCGAAAACATCATCACCCATCCACGATTCAAAGACAAAGCATTCCTTCTAATACTCAATAAGTTTGATCTGCTCGAAAAAAAGATCAAAACCGACCCTCTGTCGCAATGCGAGTGGTTTCACGACTTCAATCCGTTCGTCACCAGCCAAGCCTTTAGTAGCGATGTAAGCTCGAGAAATAAAGCAACATTGATGGCGCAATATGGTTTCCAGTATATCGGTGCAAAGTTTAAGAGGATGTTCAGTGAGTTGACGGGGCGGAAACTGTACGTGTCGCCGGTGACGGGATTAGAGGTGGATAGTGTTCGTGCAGCTCTTAGGTACGGGAAGGAGGTTTTGAGATGGGTGGATGAAGAAAATAAACCAAAGTCTAGTACCAATGAGTGGTCTTCTGAAAGTATTGAGACCAACTCATAAGGCCACAATTTAGTTCAGGTCAGGTTACTGGAGATTTTTCTGTCTGTTATATTTAGGGTCAAGCTGATTTGAATCCCGCAGTTATAGAAAAAAGACACATCGGAACGGTAATATTACAGATTAAACGTAGAAGTGTAGAAATTTACGTGATTCAATTAACATGATATTTGTTCATAACTTTGTATCGTGATCAGAGCAATTCTATTAGAGTAAAGATCGATCGAGCAAATCTCATTTTTTTCGTGTTTGGTTCAAAAATATCGAGTCATATTGATTTTATCGAGTCAAATGCTCATTTTACTATATTATGAACTATTTAAAAAGGCTTTTAGTACATGCTCTTTATAGCAAATATCATAAAAAATTCATAATTATCTATGCTACCTTGTAAATCAAATTTATCAAAAGTCTTAAAAATAATTTTTAATGCACAAAGTACTATATATTTAATATTTATGCAAAAAGTCTTAAAAACAACTCATAATGTTTTAAGTACTATTATTTTATGTATTCAGTCTGAAAATCTCTTAATTTATAATTAAAATAACATATAGTATAAATTACCAATTTACATTATTACCTTTTTTTTTCATGTTTTCAATATACTCTTGACACTTTCACTCATGCTTTCATCCTCTTATACCTCTATGTCTTCTTCCCATCCTCCAAAGTGACATTCAAACTCATATTCATCATGGGTTATTAAAAGTTCTCTCATTCAATTGCTCTAGAACTTTCGGTCTCGCTCTCGATCTTTTGATTATTTGCTCTTGGTGTAAATCGAACACATTTGTGTAGTCGTTTAAATATGTTGGATTTTAAACTGTCATACAATTTTTTTCATCGATAGACTGTAATTGGAACTATAACTTTATTTATTCAAATTGTATTAATATGTAAAAACCAAGTGTAACTTATATCATCGTTAAMTCTTCTCTAATAAAACCAGTGAAACTTCAAAATCGTTAAAATTCACGGCTCCCGCCGCATTGCACGGATACACAACTAGTTATAAATTACATGCGGTTTTATATAAATAAATAGCTTAACCAAATGGTAGTTTCTTAATGGTTTGAAACTGGACTCCAAAAGTCAAAAATGTCTGGCTAAATGATTCAAACTTCTTTCTACTCTATGATGGAAATGAAAGGGGTAGAGTACAGTACTAAAGGTCCTCGGACCTCCAGGCGGTTTTTCCAATATTTCTCCGATTAGTATCCAACTCCTATGGGGCCATGAGCACGGTGGGGACGGGGTTCCCAAAAAGCCAGCCCGGGCGAGGGTCAGTATAGAATGAAGGGGACGGTCCAAATGTTGTGTTGGCAAAGCCAACTTCTTGGGTCTCGGGCGGAGAAAAGCGAACGTGGGGACTCGGGTCGAGGCGCAACATAACTAAGGGATTCCATTTAGGACGATACAAAATGGGCGGGCACGGGTGGTCTCGGACAGACGACCGGTGTGCTTCTTTCACGACATGCTCTGGTTCCAGGTTCAAATCCAATTAGAATTAAAAATCTCCTTGTGACCATAAAGGTTCAAATGCGGCGACTTCGAGCCACCCGCAGGTGGTTGCTTGGGATTAATCGTCTCTCAAAAGTTAGAGCATAAGTTTTATAAATTTCAACTTTTAATTATCTATTTTAAAAAAAACTACTGAGAAATGGTTTGGAGATGTGAAAAATAAAAATGTTATAAACGATTAAAATTTCACCATGAATCTAACAAAACATAAAGATGGAACCCAATTCTTCAACCACTGGAACTGGTAAGCACGCTTTTTGTGATATCAAGCTTCCTTGTATAAATTTGATGAATCTTACACCCGAAATCATGAAGATAATGCACATAAAAGTCATCGTCTTCAACAAAAAACGGAAAATTCACAGGAACAAATTTACTCTAATTAGGGCGAGGATTGCTATATATACATATATAAGCATCGACATATACAATTATACATAATTACGGACGTACAGAAACTGATCAATCGCTAGCAAGGTGCAAATCGATCCATCAGCCAAAACACCGTCTCTTCCGGCAACTGATTCTCCGTCGTCGCTGATTTTAACAACGCCGGAACTGGTTTCTTCTTCTCCGTCATAGCCATTCCTGATTCCTCCTGTTCTTCGATTTGATCATCAGCTTCGTTTCGAGATTTGAGGAAGAAATTACGGTGCGGCTGCTGTTTGTTCTTCAATCGGATCTTGTTGGTAAGCTTTGTCAACTCTCCCATCCATACATTCACCACCGTCGCCATTTTTTCTCCGGCAAAAAGCTTGGAAAATATCTCGTCGTAAATTAGTGTACGATTTGGTGAATAGGAAAAAGGGAAATGAAGGTATTTATAAAGAAGAGCATTGAGAGAAGATATTTTGGAGAGACGGAGCCGCATATATTGGAAAAGTATATTCTGAAAACCCCTTTGTCGGCACGAAAATATATTTAAAATAATTTTTTAATAAAATTAATTTATTAAATTAATAAAATATTAAAAATATATATTTTTTAATTATTTATTTATATAGAAATATGTTATGATAAATTAATAAATTTTAACCTGCAATATAATTATATAAATTAATTAACTTTATATTAATAACGATAAATTATAATATTTTAAAAATTTTGATTATTTATACTAGAATGATACTTGTACAATGTAGCGAGATATAACTCGATTTTAATGTTTAGTTTTATTCCGTCTCTGTAAAAGTTTTAATATGGTTTTGAGAAAATGGATAATGTTTTTATTTTTGAATAAAATATAAATTTTAAAGATATCATAAAAATTTGAAAATAAATATATCTATACTATATTATAAAGCATTTGGTTAAAACTCTTAAAAACTCTTAA